GTGCTGGGGGATTGAACTGCGGTCCCTGTGCTTTGCTAAGCTTGTTCTAAGTAGGTGCTTTAGACCACTGAGCCATCTCACCAGCCCCAATAATTTATTTTTGTAAAGGCAGGTTATCACTAAATTGATGAAACTGCTGGGTCTGCACTTGAACTTGCCATCTTTCAGCCTCTCAGAATGCTGGGATTGCAGCATACCACAACCATTTTGGCTTTACTTTTTTGGGGGGGTCAGATCATCTCTTTATTGATGTATCTTATGCTCCTTAGCTAGCTGGGCACTCAACAACACCATTGTTGATGTCATCTGTGATGTCATGAAGGTGCCAGCTGTCCAAGTTGCAGCCCACAGACTGGGTGGTCCCCAAGATCTCCTTAATGGTTCTGGAAAGTTCTCTGGCTAAAGACCGGTGCCACATCTGTTGGGTAATATTGACAATTTCATCAAAAGTGGTATTTCCCCTGTGTTTAATGTTTTTCTGTTTCTGTCTCTTGGCAGGTCCTTAAGGGCTTTGATGAGAGGTAGAAGGCACCACCTCAATCTGAGCCTGTCTGTTCTGAATGGTCAGTTTTACCACAATCCACAGGCCCTTCCAGTCACCAGTTGCCTTGGCAATGTCATTCCCCACTTTTTTAGGAGACAGACCCAAGAGACCGATCTTCGGGGCCAGGGCAGATGTGGCACCAGTGGCACGGACTTCGCCACCGGTGCACCTCAGGTACACGACTTTGATCTCACTGGGGTCAAACTTGGACAGCATACTGGAGGTGGCTGGTGTCTGAAGAACCCGGATTCGGGATAACCAAAGAAAGTTGCACCTTAGCCTCCTCCTAGCCCAAAGCCAAAAGCTGGCTTTATATCTTTTAAAATTAAATATTATCACTGATGTTCCCTACTGATCTTAATCTATGAGAAAAGAAAAACAAAACAAAAAACTACCTGCATTGTCTCAAAAGGTTTCCACTAGTGGTGTCTGCCTGCAATCCCAGCACTTGGACCTGAGAGGATTTTTCTGGTACCTAGAATCTAATTCAGGACCTTGTGCTTGTCAGCAGGTGATTACGCCAGAGCAAAATCCCTGGGCCTCCTGTGAGTTCAAGAACAGCCTGAACTACATACCAAGACTCTGTCTCAAAAAATAAGTAAATAAAGTTTCTCCACAAAAATAAACACAAGCAGTGATTTTATTACCGGGCTTGCAGTGTACAACTATATATACTGTCAAAATACTGGCTTTCCTGTGTCTGGAATGCTCTAGTTTTAATTTATGGAAATGTAATCAAAGTCAAAAATTATAATCTTATAAAGGCAGCTGGATTCAGAGACATCTGGAGTTGGGTAGAGCATAGCTAGGTGGTAAAATTCTTGGAGATGAGACACATGTGATATTTAGAGGGTTTTAGAGATTTATTTTTTTATTGAACAGGGTCTCTGTATGCAGTTTAGGCTGGCCTTGAGCCCACTTTGTAGCCCAGGCTGGTCTTAAACTCAAAGATCCTCCTGTCTAGCCTCCCAAGTGCTGGGATTACAAGGGTGCACCACCACACTCACGCTCCCAAAATATTATTTATAAATTGAGTCTGTTTTCCTCACAGCTTGCCACTAAGCTTGACACACACTAACCACAACCGGCAAACCTGGGAACTCATTCTTTGACACAAATTGATCAGTACTTTTTTTTTCTTTTATTGGTACCAAGGATTGAACTCAGGATCTTGTATTTGCCAGGCCTCCAGACCAGGGCAGTACTTTTAAAGATGGAACACGTGAGGTTAATGTGATCGAATGGTAGAGTTAGAAGAAAAAATTATTCATACTGAAGGTACTATAAATCAGTTTGAAATGAAGGAAATCATGCAACTGGCTATTAAAAAAACAGTAGGTAAAGAATCATGCCTAAAGTTGTTAACACATAACTGAGACGTCTGGGTCTAAGATTTGAAAGAATTTTAAGTAATCTAATCCTAGAACTATTCTAAAAGGTATGCACTTCTAAAAGTAGCTTGGCACAGTAGTGCACACATATAAGCCAAGTTAAGTATTCTGGGAGGCTGAGGCAGAAAAACTCAATTCCAACCCTACCGAAGTTACAAAGGGGGACCTTGTCTCCAAATCAACAAAAAGCCAGACCACCCAGCTCAGTCAGAAGACCTTGGGTTCAACCCCTAGTAGTTTTTTTTTTTTTTGTTTTTTCTTTCTGGAACCGGGGATTGAACGCAACCTAGTAGTATTTTTATAAATACTATTTTCTAATTAAATTCTAACAACTGAAACATTCAGTGTCTCACTTTCCATGGGGAAGCTATGCCAGGTGGCTGACCAAATGAGTTAACTCTCCTTTCACGTGTCCTGTGAAACTGACTGTAGAGGGGAAGAGTATGAGACCTGGGCTAAGTGCCCTGACTGGCCTCTAACTTGGGATCCTGCCTGCCTCAGTGCCCTGTGTTAAGATTACAAGTATGCACCATGCCCTGTAAAGGCTATCTTTAACATCTTTTGTATTTGTCCTTCTATCCATTTCATAATCATCTGAAATAAGTAAGAAACAAAACCAAACAAGCTCCGATTATCTCCGGTTTTGTTAATGCAGGCCCCCCAATCTGTCGCGGTAACGCAAACCTGGCAAACCCCATTGAGATTCTTTACATACTTATTTTCTCCTCAGCGGCCTAGGAGCCAAAGTATATGATTATCTGTTCTTGAACGGCTACTTCCAGTGATTCAGGAAAGGGCTGGGGTGAGACCCACGAGCAACATTTCCACACACGCCACAACTAATGTGCACCCATCCCCAACAGCGGGGTCCCCGGCTCAATGCCTTTCCCACCCCTTCCGACTTTTCCAGTTCTCAACACACACAAAAAGAAAAGGACGTACAAAGAAACGCTGCAACTCCCTTTCGGTCGACTTCAACTGAGCCGAAACGTCCACGAATGCACCAAAGCATCCGCAGTGTCCCAGCGGAGTCCAAGGCCACCGCCGCCCTGCGCCCAGCTCCCCCTGAGGTGCGGCGGGAGCGGAAGCCTCGCCCTCCGGCCGCCCCGGATGGCCCCGGCAGCCGGAGAAGCGCAGGATGGCTCGGAAGCCAGATCCTGGCACGAAGCAGCTTTCAGGAAAGTAGAGGCCTCGCCCAGGACCACGGACCTGGGCCGGCACAGAAAGCCCCGAAGGAGCGGGTAGGTCTCCCGCGGCGCCCTGCTTCTCCTTACACTCCCCTCCCGAGAGGACAACGCTCAGCGATGGGTAGACAAAGCCTGTTAGTCTCCAGAATGCGCTCCAACAAGCCCACAGGGAGATCCAAGGCCGGCTCTTCGCCCCTGTGGGGAAAATGGCGCCCGTCACCCCATCTCCCTCCCGGGTAATCGTAAGGACCAGCCTCCCTCCCTGGATACAAAATGGCGCCTCCTGCTGGGGCCCCAGAATCGGCATAACTCACTTGTCAGTGAGGCGATGTCGGTCAGGGATGCGCGGTTCCGCCAACCAGTCATACACCGGAGCTTTGATTCCGCCCTTTGCGCGAGCCACTCAGACACGAGCTGAAAGGCCAGGATGATATGACGTCACGATAAGGGGCGTGGAGAAAGGCGGTTCCCTTACCGGAGGCTAAATTTGGACCAATGGCTAGCAGGAAGCGTCCCATGAGTGACGTGACGATAACCCAATGGAGGCTGGGGGGTGGGCTTCACACAAGATATGCGTGTTGCTGGGCCTGGGGGCCGGGCGGCTGTTTCCTGTCCTGGTGCATGGTGGTCGGACGGAGGAATTGTTGGAAAATTTTCTCGGAGGTTCGTATATAAATGTGTTTTTACCCAGTGTGCATTATTCTCCGCCCGGCCGCCGCCCTCAGCGCGGCGGCGCGGGCCCGCTTGAGGCCCGGGCTGTAGTTCCTGCTCGTCAGCCTTGGCCGTAGGCCTTTGCCGATCCTACGGCCGCTTCGGCAGCCGTGCCTAGGCAGAAGCAGAGTTTATTAATAACCTGCGGCCGCCACTCTGAGGCGGCGGAGCCTGTCGCTGAGGACGCACCCCCACCCCCGGTCTCTGCCGTCGCGCCCCGCCTGCTCCCCTTAGGGGACCGCCGAGGGGCGGGAGATCGAGGGGGAGGGTGGAGTCCCCGGAGCCTGGCGGCGTGTCTCGGCCTGGCCTCCGCGCGAGAGCGGGCCGGAGCCGCGCCACGGTGAAGCTGCTAGAGCTGGGACATCCGGCCTGCGGCTCGCTGCGGGCCCCGCCGGGCGCGGGCTGCACAGCTGGCCGAGGGCCGCTCGGAAGCCCGCTCGTGGGTCGGACCCTCCTCTTCGGATCGCAGACAGATTTCTTGTCACATCTTTTTGTTAAAGGTTGCCGAGGCCTAGTAATGAATATTAAAAAATAGCAGGTTATCATTTCCTAGTTTTGGTCAAGACTGAACAAATCACTACAGTTTCTTGTGTTTTATTGTGAGATTGAGACAGTTTTTTCTCCTCCCTCACTTGCTTTTATAACATTTCCCCCCACATAACGTTTTAAGTTGTAAAAAATACCATTGCCTGCCCATTGTTTGAAATCAGCTTCCGCCTTTGCTTTCTAAGTGTCTAAGTCAACTGGCATAGTTGAGTGGGAATGTGGTGAGAAATTGTAGATTGCAATTTGATCCTTGATTTTGCTAGAAGATATCGTACGTACTTGTGTTTTAGTATAGTGAAAACCTGGGTGGTATTTAATACTTTTGCTGAATATTTGATGGCTTGTTCATTGTTAGGTATTTAGTAAAAATGTGATGACGTGGGTCCCAAAGCACCAGTAAGATAAATGGTTTTTTTTTTTGTCTCCCCCTCCCCCCCCCGGGGGATTGAATAAGTAGTTTTACCCTGGCATATTTTGACTCTTTAGAGACTTTAATGAATTTGGTGCTTACAAAGATTTTTCCGTCCACTTTTTAAAATTAACAGCCTTCAAAATTAACATAATTTCATATACCTTCCAGTTAGTTTTAAGGTGTATAATTAGAAGTGTACATATAATTAGATTGTACATATAGGGGCTGGGGAGATGGCTCAGTGGAATGAGTGCTTCCCTGGTAAGAGCAAGGGT